TTTGAGTTCCAGCATGGTGGAAGAAGGAGGGCGGTTGATCCGTATGGTTCCTTTGGTGACGGATGATCTGAGTCTCAATTTCACGGTGCCGTCCTCACTCCTCACTTGCCGAAGGAATTTATGAAGTCACCTGGGCTTTGCAAAAAAGTGAATTTGGTGGCAAGAAAGCTACTCGTCAGGGCCGGTTCTGGGGGAGGGCAAGAGGGGCGACCGCCCTAGGACCGGGAAAAAATAGAAGAAAAAATAGGCACAATTTTTTTTCTTTTATGTATAGTGTTAGTAGGCTTCTTTTTTTAATTCTTAAGATCAGTTAATTAGGCCTAATGTTTAATTTTGTTGACAATTTGAAAATTTAAAATGTAAATAAAAAGTTTTAAACAGAGCCATGTTTAAAAAAAGAATATATACATTAATATTAAGTAGGATCCGTTGTAGTTTTTAAAAGCAATACAATTGTTGCTGCATCAAAAAAAGAATATATACATTAGTTTTAAGTAGGATCGGTCGTAGTCTTTACATCTCTTTAGCCTTTAAGGCTTTTTATTCATATAATTATAACATAACAAATTTATATAATTATTTTAGAGTCCATCTCTCTCAAACCTCATCCCAATTATTTATTTGTTTCCAAATTTCAATAAACTATATCTGAGTTCCTAATAGTAGTTTAGAGGACGTCAAATTGGCAGTCTTCTTGCGCGAGTGTTCTTGGCGGCCATACATTTTGTCTCTTTGAAAACCTTCATTCTTTCGAGACTTCAAACTTTAGACTCCCATCAATGATCAATAAATCATTCTCAACTTATGAATTCAATATGTAGTGACATTTTTTTCATATTTCCTTTCAAAAAAAAGTTTAGTGTTGTTATATGTGGCAATTTTATTGTTTGTCATGTATTAATAGAAAGAAGGTCGCCTATGAAGCGATTATTCATTATTTGCTTCATATTGTTCTACGAGAAATGTTTTTTTACTGATGTTTCTTCTTTTTATCCGATACTTGTGTTGTTACTTTTGCCCAAATATGTAACTTAAATAATAATAATGATAAAGTGATTTTTGACTTTATTTTATGAACTTCATTGGATATTTTTATTATAATTCTTATTTCAAATAAGTATACCGTCATAGGTCCAGAATAGCGTACCGCCCATAGGCCCAGAAATGGTCAGAACCGGCCCTGCTACTCGTTTTTGGACAAGGGAACAATGGACAGGGGAATTACTCTAGAGAGGGAAAGCTACTCGTTTTTGGACAAGAAAATATACTTTGAACCAATTTGAAATGAGTATAATGCCTCAAACACATTCGAAATGAGTTTATATTAAACTCAAATTAGTACAATGCCTAAAAACAATGAACATACAAATAAATATAAAGCATATTAGAAATGAGCTTTATATTAAATGAAATGCATATAGTGCCTAAAATGAATGAACATACACAAATGAGCTTTTGAATTTTTCGATACTCATTTTCTAAGTTATGTATGTTCATTTGGTAATATTTTTATGCTCATTTCAATCTATTAAATAAATCCATATTTTAAAAGTATCATACTTTTAATTGGAATTGATTATAAACATAATTTAAAAAATTTATAAAAGAAAATAATAATAAAAAATAAAATGCATCAGGAGATATGAAGCAAATATTACCATGCTCATTGTTAGACTCTTAATACTCAAAAGAATATGTTGGATGCTCAATTGCGATACTCAATTGCATGCTTTTAATACTCAATAAAGGGGGTTTGATACTCAATGAAAATGTCTTGATACTCAACTAAAAAATTATGATTTTCATATTAATGCTCTTTTTGTAAGTTACACATGCTCAAACAGTACTCATATTACCATACAAATACATATTCCAAAAGTACCATATTACATTAGATTCACATCGAAGTTCATAGGAGTTGATTATAGATACAATTTAATTTAATTAGTTTTTATAAAAGAAAAACTAAGAAAAAGAAAGTGATATCACAATATTCATTATTCGACTCTTAATACTCAGTAGAATACGTCTGCTGCTCATTAAAAGTGTATTAATGCTCATCTAACGAAAATCGCGATTTTCATTGAAATTACAAAAATTCCACCGTTTTTTAGTTGTGATATTAGCTTTCGTGTAATAACACATTGCTCATTATTAGACTTTTTAGTACTCATTAAAATTGGACTACTGCTCATTAACAGTACACTAATGCTCATCTAGCAGAAATCACGATCTTCACTAAATTTACAAAACTGCCACCGGCTGTACGGCTTGCACCGTACAGCCGGGTGTACGGTATACGCTCCTAAAATGACTAACTGCCTAGTTATAAACATTTCAGATTCCTCTTCTTGAGTTCTTTTGTAATTTCGGCACATAATGCCATTTTTCTGTGTTATGTTAGGCTCTCCTATGTTACAACTTTTTATTTTCTCTTTTACAATAAGATAATAATTTTACATTGGTCAATCATTTTTTTTAGTTGTTCAAACTAATTTTATGATTTGAATTCCAAATTGGCATAAATTGCCATGGTTTTCCGTATAAAGTGTTATGTTGACACTTAGTGTCATTTTTATGGTATTAATTTCTTCTAGATGGCAAAAAAATACTAATAATGCCACATTTTATATATATATAAAAATGTTATTTTTGCACATAGTGCCATTTATATGGCACTAACTATGAAGTGATGATAATATCATTTCTCCTACAAATCCAACATTTATAATGTCACTGGAATGTCAAAATGACACTCAAACTCATATCTTTTTTTATATAAATCTTATTAAAATGATTTTCAAATAGTGAAATCATATTTTAAATCACTTTTTTCAGATCTGAGATCTGTAATGGTGGAGCCAAACATGGTGGTGCTAGAAGAGATGTGACTGACCAATGGCGGCCAACGAATAGCAGCGGAGGCACCTGGCAGCTGCGGTGCCGGCGGTAGCAATGGAGATATTGCGGCGGCATATAGTGGCGGAGTCCGGTGGCGCGGTGGCGTTCGGCGGCGGCAAGGGGTGATTGGCGGCGGTGTCCTGCATGCCCCCTGGGTGGTGCCGGCGGCAACTTCTGCATGCTGGAGTAGGCATGAGGGAAAATACGCTACTATGAAATGCATTTGGTTTATTATTCTACTTTATACTTCATATTTTTGCTAAATAAATATATTGGAGCTTTCATTAAGGACATTCTTGTCCCTTACTATTAATTTCCGTGCAACGAACTTCAAATGAGATAGGAGTCCTACTTTGGAATATTTAATATGTTTTACTCCTAAATTGGGAATTCTCTCTGAGAAAAACTAGCCGGCTAAATAGTCTCCTATATTTGGCAGGATCCTCCATAAGAGCACAAGCGACAAGAACTAAAGAATGACTTCCTTCCAAATCAATTGGAAATAGATAGAAAATGAAAACACACACCACATTGAGGATATGACAATGCTTATGTTCGACTCTTGCATTTTTTTGAGGAGTTTTGACCATAGGTGTTAGATGAATAATCTTATGTTCACAAAAGTACTCTCCGATATTCTCCCATAAATCATGAACAACATCTCGCCATATGTGAGATAGATATTCGGAAAGAATGATAAGTAGTGTTGAACATCCAAGGAACAGTAATTGAATAGATGTCCACCAATCTGAAATAAAGGCAAGTTTTACGTTTGACACATAATGAAACACAAAATACTCTAGCTCGTTCCTCCTAGTTATAACCCTTTTGAACATAAGTAATTGTTTCCCTAGGATTGTCACTAGAACTAAAAGCAGAGACAAAATTTGGGTGAAGGTGTTATTGTCCCACCAGCCATACTGTGAAAAGAAAATTGAATATGTTTGTTAGAGGGAAATTCAACTTGCTTTATTATTCATAGTAAGGACACGCACGCACGCATACACAGATGCATGCATACATATACATCTAGTATTTTATGGAGAAAAAATTCCTTTAGAGATCAATTCACAAACCTATAGCCGGCCCCATTCGGAAACTTGGAAGATTAAAAAACCTAAGGCGTTTAGAAAATCTTATTGATTTCGAAAACCGCAAGCCTCTTTGGAAACTTGGGGAATTCAGAAATTATTCTAACTTTTTGAAACCGAACTTTCCGAAGTGCTCCGTTCGGGAACCTTAAAACCAATTTCGGAAACCTTCGAGCCTTATTAATTAGTAAAACTCTGAGTTTTGAAACATAGTTGGTTCATAAATTAGAAAAGGTTCAACAAATTGACTTTTCATGTTTATCAACTTTGACTAATGATTTTTTTAATATGAAATTATTTTGAATATGAAAATTTTATCAAAATGTTGCGTATTCAATTAAAATATTTTCATGAAAAAATAAAATTTAAAAAATATTTACAAATATAATAATCAAAATCAATGTTCAAATTTTGTCATCATTGATCAAAATAAGTTAATATGAGAAATTTTTTGTTCTTTGTCTCACTCTAGTGTAGTATTGAACGCTATGATTGGAATGCTTCGGCTTTTAGTTGTTATATTTCTTGTTAAGATCTGATTATCAATAAAATGGTTGTTTGATTTTCAAATATAAAAAAGTACAAGAAATAAACAATCATGTACAAGAGATATAATGGGTGTTGTCATGCGATGGTAAATATGGCTTCACGGAATAATATTATGGGCTGGGCAGGGCAGTTGGTTTAGAATTGAAGAAGATTGGTAATAAATATTACCTCCGTCTCAAAAAGAGTTGCAAATTTGACTTTTCTTAGTCAAACAGTCTTGTTTTGTTCACTTAATTAGGATGTCAATTTTTAATTATTTTCTAATTTGGAGTTTACAACTTTGAAGAAATTTTAATGTAGTTTTTGAATATGTAAATTTTAATTATTAAAAATTGAATTAATTATGCGTAGGGAGAGTTGACTTTTATTATTGGTTGACAAAAAAATGTTGACTTTGCAAAATAAATTGGGACGGAGTATATATATATATATATTGCGCAGAAATTGTATATATAATTTGTTCACACAAACCGTGTGACTCGATCCCACTTAGCTTCCCCGGGGCGAGCACATATAGATTTGCATCCATCCATCCATCTATAAATAGGCCCTGCCTGGGATTGATTGTAAGAGACCAATCCATTCCATAAAATTTGAAGCTAATAAGGTAGGCCGTTTGATTTGCTGCGCGCGCTTAAAAGCTAGCTAGCTAGCAATTAAGGCTTGCTTAGGGGTAATATATATAAGTGAAGGTGAAGGAAGGAGGTAGGATGCTACGGTCGATAAGTGGGATGGCAGGGGCGAGTGGGTTCGGGTCGGCGTCGACGGCGGCGCAGGTGAGCGAGGGCATCGACGCGTCCAACCTGAGGGCCATTGTGACGGGCGGGGGGAGTGGGATAGGGCTGGAGACGGCGAGAGTGCTGGCGCTGAGGGGGGCCCACGTGATCATCGCGGCGAGGAACACGGAGGGCGCCGAGGCGGCGGCGAGAGAGGCGATCCTGAGGGGCAACCCGGAGGCCCGGGTGGACGTGATGGAGCTGGACCTCTCCTCCCTCAGGTCCGTGGAGGCCTTCGCCGACGACTTCAACGCCCTGGGACTGCCCCTCAACATCCTCGTCAACAACGCCGGCGTCATGTTCTGCCCCTTCCACCTCTCCCAGGACGGCTACGAGATGCAGTTCGCCACCAACCACCTGGGCCACTTTCACCTCACCAACCTTCTCCTCCCCAACATGAAGGCGGCCGCCTCCGCCTCCGCCGTCGAGGGCAGGATTGTCAATCTCTCCTCAATCGCTCACCGCTACCCCTGCACAAAAGGAATCAAATTTGACCACATCAATGACAAGAAAAGGTACGGTACTACTCGCTAGCTAGCTGGACCCCTACCACGCCGCACCCCTTAATTCATTGTCACACTTCATTCATTCATTTCCTCATCATCTTTATATTGTCTCCTATCTGCCTGCCTACTCAATAATGGATGCATCAGTTATAATGACAAAATGGCGTATGGGCGCTCCAAGCTAGCCAACATCTTACATGCGAATCACTTGTCTCGTCGACTACGGGTAACCTCATCTCCATAACACAGTCATCACTCTAAGCTATTATATACTATGTATATATGGAGTACCATTTACGGATCGGATATTGTTGCACTTCTATAGCTCTACTACAATATTATAACTCTACCTAAATGCTTCTATTGCCATTAATATCCAAATTTCTGGCCAAATATCCTATGTGTGGGCTGGAATTTTATTCGAACAATTCATTATACATTACTTTTATCCAGACCATCGATGTACAATAATCTGTAGACATAAATTCCGTCCGCCTTATACAAAAATTATTAAAAATTTGAATAGTATTACTCTTTGCCACATTTACGTATAATTATGGTACTGATTTGTATGCGATATCATTTAAGATCGGATCGGTGTATATATATGTGTGTTTTATATGTATATATATAAAGTGCGCAGTTAACTTCTAAAAATCATTTGAATACCTTCCCGGTTGAATTTTTAGTTGAAATTTGGTATAGATAAACTAGACTTGATGAAGATCGTAGAACATGCTCAAAAAATTTCATCAAAAAATTCCACCGAAAACCCCCTCAAAATGTGGTGGCCGGACGGCGGCTCCGGTCAGGTATACCTCTCTGTATACATAATTCATGTATTCATAATGCATGTATCACCTAGCTTAGCTACCTCCAACTACACCCACACCTATTATATTCACAATTCATTACTCACTCCCAGTACCAACCTGCGTAAATTCGAGCCTGAGTTGAGCTTCATAAAACATCCCTATATATAGTGTTTGTTTGGCAGTTAAGAGATCAAACACAGACACACTCTAATTTACAAACTAGAAACTCATCTTGGCTTTCGATGAGTTGATCTAAAGCCTATAGACACACAGTGCCATTTTGGTAATAAAATCAATTTTTTTAAGGATGTAAAACTTTGAAAGTTAATATTCAATGCAAATAGCGTAAATAAAGATGCATCGTACAAATATTTGCACGATAAACATTGTTTGGACATAATTTGCCCCCTTGTTTGTCATATAGTTTCATTAAAATTAAATGATTAAATATCATGAAATACTTAAATAAAAGTCTTACATCATTATAAAAAATGATACTAAATGTAGTAAAAAAACTAATTAAGTACAACTCGCCGAACAATTTTAGGTATAAAAGTATTAATCAAGTCTGCATAATCTATGTCAACAATATCTATTTGTGTACTAATTTTGTGTACGTATGTAATTTTCCTTGCAAAAATGTATATAAACATACATTTTGATCCTTGCCTGCATGCAGGAAGAGGGAGCAAATATAACTGTGAATTCGGTGCACCCAGGGTTGATAATGACAAATCTTATGAAGCATTCAACCATCCTTATGAGTATGTATATACCCACACATCAACATCACTACTAACCAATTAATATTATGTAATTATTACGGAGTATATTTCAAGTCACTGATTGTGATCAAAACTCTTCAAATTCTGTTCAGATGTTTTAAGGATTTTCACTTCAGTGATTTGGAAGAATGTCCCTCAGGTAAAATCAAATTATTGTCCTCAAGTCTCGATATATAGGATCAGAGTAACAATTATGCTACTCATAAGTTGGAGATATATTCAGTAACAATTATGCTACTCCTCCCATTTGTCCTACACATATTTCCCATTGTCATGATGATGTGAACACATTGTTACGCAAATATGAAATTATTAATGAAACAATTACACTAATTTGTATGATTTCTATCTACGTTTTTGTGTGTATATATTTGCTCGATCATAGATTGATTTTACATTGACAAAGTTATAGCTTATTTGTAATAAAAAATCTTTATCAAGAATAATTATTTAAATATAACTTTGAACAAATTTTCACTCACTTTGCATATCTGTGGCGCATGTGCAATGACGTTGTAAAGAAAACTAAATTGGCAGAAAAGTGTTGTTTTTGTATCAATAACATCAATATGTGATGGTGAGTTATTTTTGTATCAATAACAAAAAAAAGAACCTATTATGTGCCGAGGTTTTTTTCCTTGTATCAATAACAACTATATGTGATGTTGTAATGGTTGATGTTTCTTATGCCTTTCTAGGGGGCGGCCACAACCTGTTATGTGGCTCTTCATCCCAATGTGAAAGGCGTTTCAGGGAAGTACTTCGTTGACTGCAATTTGTGCAAGCCCACCAAAATGGCAAGAAATGAAGCTTTAGGAAAAGAGCTTTGGGATTTCAGTCACCAATTGGTGAAACAATCTAAAAACAAGTAAAACATGTACTGATTCATAATCGTGTGTGTAAAATATAATCAATAGTGCTCCATATTATTGCCTAGTGAACATCACTAGCCTCCTTTTTGTGCTCCATTTAATTATGTGCAATAACACTTTATATATATTTGAACAATGGCAAGAGTATTGTGTCGATAACACAATTGCTATATTATAATAATTATATTCGCATCTATCACTTTCAGCTGATTCTATTCATTTATTTAATATTGCTTATTGTTAAGACCCGGGGTTCATCCTAAAAGGTCAACCTGATAGGAGGAGTAGCCCAAAGCCTTATAATGTTTAATTGTTTTATAGCTTTCCGGTGTGGGACAAATGCTTTAACACGCCCCCTCAGTCCGAACCGGGCTGGACAATATCGGGGTGTATAAATTGCCCAAACCAACCCTTAACAAGTCACCCTTAATCATGGGTGCTAAACAAGCCGTCAAACCACAACCGGAATTGGCTCTGATACCATGTTAAGACCCGGGGTTCCATCCTAAAAGGTCAACCTGATAGGAGGAGTAGCTCAAAGCATTATATAGTGTTTAATTGTTTTATAGCTTTCCGGTGTGGGACAAATGCTTTAACACTTATGCATAATGTTTCTTATATAGCACTCGTACATTTTACCTCTTGTATGTTAGCGTTGTTTTGCAATAAGGAAAATATATATAATGATTAAAACATTACTACCTCCGTCCCATTTTATGTGTCTTCTTTGGTTTTGGCACAATTTTTAATAAGTGGTTAAAAAGGTAAAAGTTGTGGTTGGGATTTGGTTATAGTAAAGTGAAATGTTGTGAACCACATATTTCTTTCCAAAGAGGGAAAGTGGACACTTATTTTGGGACAGCCCAAAAAGGAAAGTAAGACAGGTAAACTGGGACGGAGGGAGTATATTTATTAAAATAAGAGCTAAGGACAAGAACTTATCTCCTCACTACATATTGGTGTAGTGACCATAGGGTTGAAAGTCATCATTTAGTTATATTTGATCTTTAAATATGAGTTAAGTTCTATTTTAGAATTCCTTTAATTTGTAACTAGATAACCTATCATGATTAGTGTCTGTTGTAAGTGTTTTTATATGTGTTTACATTGATATCAGTAAATGTGTGTGAATATCCATTAGTTCCTATGTTGAGATTGTATGAAGTGTACGCATTTCTTTTTCTCTGATCTCAATGTTAGCCTAAAATCATATAAATGCAGCGGAAATAATAGGATCGCTAATCTCCAGCCATATTGTTGATGAACGGTCGAAGAACATGGAAGAACACCGGAAAACTTTTCGTCTTCCACTTCACTCCTCACTCTAGATGGTGTATAATGCTTAGAGCCTATTCGGTTATGGAGCTAAGCATGCGTGTGTTTGTATGTTGTGATGGAGGAGTGGGAGGACCATGGAGCACTTATATAGCCACCTACCATCAAGGTGGCTCTTGTAACGGAAACCGTTACAAATATCTGTCATCATTGCACCACACTTATGAGACATTATTATTTGATTAATTCAAAATATTCAAATAATGTTACATTCTCCCACTTGGTGCATTGTTTAACCTTAAGAAACAAAAGACATGAACCATAGTGTTACGTCCTCTTAGCTTGAGTAGTACCACTAATGATCACAATGCACCTTGTCCCTTAAGTTATGGCAAAACTTAATGAATAAACCTTATGTCTATTACTGGTCCAAAAATAACAGTACATTTTCTCAACATAATGAAGTGTGCACATCTTAATGAGAAAAATGTCTTAATGCATAAGAATTTTGTAAATAACTGAATGTATTAATACAAATTGGAACAAAGTCCCATATTCGACACATGATCCTTGAATTTAAATGGCGGCATGCCTTTAGTCAAAGGATCAGCAATCATCAACTCTGTGCTAATGTGCTCAATGACCACTATCTTATTTTTTATGCGCTCCCTTATAGACAAATATATGGTGTCGATATGCTTAATTCAACTCCCACTTTTGTTATTCTTTGATAGGAAGAACGCAGCAGAGTTGTCACAATAAACCTTTAATGGCCTAGATATTGAGTCCATAACTCTAAGCCCATAAATGAAATTCTTAAGCCATCACCTTGTGATGTAGCCTCAAAACAAGAAATGAGCTCGGCCTCCATAGTAGAAGTAGCGACCGAAGTTTTTTTGGCACTCTTCCATGAAATATAACAGCTCCACCAGCCATGATAAAAATATATCCCGAAGTTGATTTCCTTGAATCAACATAACCGGCATAGTCCGCGTCAGAATAACCCACAACTTCCAAGTTGTCAGTTCTTCTATACACAGTCTTGTAATCAATTGTTCCCTTAAGATACCTCACGACCTTCTTAGCAGCTCTCCAGTAGTGGTCCAAACCTGGATTACTCTGGTAGCGGCCCAACATCCCGACAGCAAAGGAAATATCTGGTCTAGTACAAACCTGGATATATCCCAAGCATCCAACTGCTGATGCATATGGAATATTATGCATGGATTTTCGTTCAAAATCATTCTTTGGACATTGGTCCAAACTGAATTTATCTCCTCTCACTATGGGAGCAACACTCGGTGAACAATCCTTCATCTGAAACCTCTCTAAAACTTTGTTGATATAAGTTTCTTGTGATAGACCTAGAACACCAAGAGATCTATCCCTATGGATCTTTATGCCAATGACAAAAGATGCCTCACCCATATCCTTCATATCAAAGTTTTTAAAGAGAAATTGTTTCACTTCATGTAGCATCCCCTTATCATTTGTTGCGAGCAAAATGTCATCCACATATTAAACATGAAAACAAATTTTACATCCACTAACCTTCTGGTATATACAATGATCCATGGGACTTTCAACAAAACCAAATGAAGAAATTATCCCATCGAACTTAAGATACCATTGTCGGGAAGCTTGTTTTAAACCGTAAATGGATTTATTAAGCTTGCAAACTAAATGCTCACCATGACTAGAAGAAAAACCTTCAGGTTGTTTCATGTAAACCTCTTCTTCTAGATCACCGTTAAGAAAGGCCGTTTTCACATCCATTTGTTGCAATTCAAGATTGAAATGCGCAACTAAAGCTAAAATCACACAAAGGGAATCTTTCTTAGAAACAGGAGAAAATGTCTCCTTGTAGTCAATTCCTTCGATTTGAGTAAAACCTTTAGCAACAAGTCTTGCTTTATATCTATCAATGTTGCCTAATGAATCCCTTTTGGTCTTAGAGACCCATTTGCAGCCAACAGCCTTGACCCCATTAGGCAACTCTACTAGATCCCAGACTTTGTTATTCTTCATGGAGTCCATTTCTTCCTTCATGGCTTTGTGCCATAAATCAGACTCCTAGCTACTCATGGCTTGTGAAAACGTTTCATGATCATTTTCGGCTCCAATGTCAGTTTCTTGCAAATACACTTCATAATCGCTAGGAATTGCTGATCTTTTAACTCGAGTAGATCTTCTTAATGCTGAACAGTCATCTCCATGAGGATCTTCGGGTTCAATTACCTCATCAAGAATTTGATTTTCTTGAATAGGTTGATCTACTGGAATATTTCCAACATTTTGTGGAATTTCTGTATTAGGTTGATCAGTACCAATTTGATCTTGAGGGGTATTGTGTACGATAATCAACCCCTGTGATGACATGGAAGGTTGGGATTCCGTATGATCATGAACAGGAATTAAGTCCCTGAACCGATCTCTCCCACTAAGTACGTCATTCTCAAGAAATTTTTTGATAAATAAAACCTAGTCGTATGAGATGGACAATAAAACTTGTAACCCTTAAAGGACTGCGCGTATCCAATAAAGAAACCACTAATAGTCCTTGGGTCCAGTTTCTTCTCACCTGGGTTATAAATTCTCACTTCAGACAGACATCCCTAAATACGCATATGTTTCAAACATGGTTTCCAACCTTTGAATAACTCAAAAGGTGTCTTAGGGACAACCTTGGTTGGAACTCGGTTCAATATATACGTTGCCGTCTTAAGCGCTTCAGCCCACAAAAACTTAGGAAGATTGGAGTTGCTAAGCATACTCCGCACCATGTCTATAAGCGTTCGGTTTCTCCTTTCGGCAACACCATTTTGGTCCGGAGACCCAGACATAGTGTATTGGGCAACAATCCCATGTTCTTGAAGAAACTTAGCAAATACACTAGGTGCTTGTCCATTTTCAATGTATCTACCATAATATTCACCACCTCTATCAGATCTAACTATTTGTATTCGCTTCCCACATTGGTTCTCAACTTCAGCCTTAAAAGACTTAAAGGCATCCAATGATTCATACTTATTTTTAAGAAAATACACATAGGTATACCGAGAATAATCGTCAATAAAGGTGATAAAATATTTCTGACCTGGCATGTCCATTTCTGGACAACATATATCAGTATGTATGATTTCCAATATAATTGAACTTATATTGGCACAATTTTTAAACTTGTTTGTCTGCTTACCCTTAATGCAGTCTACACAAGTTTCAAAATCAAAAAAATCAAGAGTACTAAGTACCCCATTATTAACTAATCACTTAATTCTTTCAATGGAGATGTGACCTAATCTCCGGTGCCATAACATGGAGGAATTCTCGTCAACACTAGATCTTTTGGAGCCAGTATGCACATGAAATGAATTAAGTGTGGCATCATTTTGCAAATCAATACTGTAAAGACCATCAGACAGAGTACTTTTTCCAACAAAAGTAGATTTATTGAATAATTCAATAACTTTATTCTTGAAATTGAAGGAAAAACCGAATGGTACTAGTCTTGAAATTGAAATCAAGTTTCGTGAGAAACTTGGTACATAAAAGGTCTTTTCCAAAGTTAAAACAAAGTCACTACTTAAAATTAAAGTGCATGTTCCAATGGCTTCCACGTGTGAGCCCATCTTGTTTCCGGATAAGATGCTTTGCTCACTTCCCACTGGCTTCCTTAGATTCTGCATACCCTGTAAAAAGTTTGCAACGTGGATTGTAGAACCAGAATCAATCCACCATGAATTAGTGTTAACATCACACATATTGTATTCATGACAAACAAAGGAGGATAAATTACCTTTATTCTCCGGCCACTTCTTGAACTTGGCACAATCTTTCTTCATGTGTCCTTTCTTTTTACAGAAATAACACTTATGTGCCTTCTTAATGTCAGCTTTGAGTGGTATTTTACCTTTACCCTTAGCTTTAGAGG